TCACACTTTGCTTTCAGGAACTATTTTTGCCGATTTTTTGAAATTTGTTATGTTAGCGAAAAATGCATATGGGAGAACACTCAACTTTGACACTCTGGTGCGACCAAACTAGAAAATGTCGCCTATATTCACCTATATCACGTGAATCTATATGAAAATACCTATCGATTAAGCAAAAAAAATTTACACTTTGCTTTCAGGAACTATTTTTGCCGATTTTTTGAAATTTGTTATGTTAGCGAAACCTGCATATGAAAAAACACCCAACTTTGACACTCTAGTGCGGCCAAACTAGAAAATGTCGCCTATATTCACCTATATCACGTGAATCTATATGAAAATACCTATCGATTAAGCAAAAAAAATTCACACTTTGCTTTCAGGAACTATTTTTGCCGATTTTTTGAAATTTGCTATGTTAGCGAAAAATGGGTACAGTACAGTGTATTTTATACTGAAAATTATTGTACTACAGTATAGTGCATTTTGTACTGAAAATTATTGTACTACAGTATTGTGTATATTGTACTGAAAATTATTGTACTACGGTATACTACAGTACAGTGTATTTTGTACTCAAACTATTGTACTACGGTATAGCGGATTTTGTACTGAAAACTATTGTACTACAGTATAGTGGATATTGTATTGAAAATTATTGTACTACCTTATAGCGCATTTTGTACTGAAAAATGTTGTACTACGGTATATAGCATTTTGTACTGAAAATTATTGTACTACAGTATAGCGCATTTTGTACTGAAAAATGTTGTACTACAGTGTAGCGCATTTTGTACTGGAAAATGTTGTACTACGGTATACTACGGTATAGCGCATTTTGTACTGAAAACTATTGTACTACAGTATAGTGTATTTTGTACTGGAAATTATTGTACTACAGTATTGTGTATATTGTACTGAAAATTATTGTACTACGGTATACTACAGTACAGTGTATTTTGTACTGAAAACTATTGTACTACAGTATAGTGGATTTTGTACTGAAAACTATTGTACTACAGTATAGTGGATTTTGTATTGAAAATTATTGTACTACGGTATATTACAGTATAGTGTATTTTGTACTGAAAATTATTGTACTACAGTATAGTGTATTTTGTACTGAAAATCATTGTACTACAGTATAGTGTATTTTGTACTAGAAATCATTGTACTACAGTACAAAATTTTTGTGAATATAGGCGACATTTTCTAGTTTGGCCGCACCAGAGTGTCAAATTTGGGTGTTCTCTCATAGCTATGTTATGGTAACATAGCAAATTTCAAAAAATTGGCAAAAATAGTTCCTGAAAGCAAAGTGTGAATTTTTTTTGCTTAATCGATAGGTATTTTCATATAGATTCACGTGATATAGGTGAATATAGGCGACATTTTCTAGTTTGGCCGCACCAGAGTGTCAAAGTTGGGTGTTCTCCCATAGCTATGTTATGGTAACATAGCAAATTTCAAAAAATCGGCAAAAATAGTTCCTGAAAGCAAAGTGTGAATTTTTTTTGCTTAATCGATAGGTATTTTCACATAGATTCACGTGGTATAGGTGAATATAGGCGACATTTTCTAGTTTGGCCGCACTAGAGTGTCAAATTTGGGTGTTTTTTCATATGCAGGTTTCGCTAACATACTGAATTTCAAATACCGTTAAAAATAGTTTCCATAAGCAGAATTTGAATTTTTTT